GCAACAACCTATTATGGCACTGTACTATAAGCACTGGATTGGCAACCACAAATTTGGCAGTTCACGTCCACAACTGCTCCTTAGAAACCCTATACAGGGTCACCATGAGTCAGAACCAACTTGATGGTACTTAACAACAACACATTTTGTAATGTTCTCATTATATCTGTAATGATATGTTCTCTCTTTTTCTCAGTTTTATGTTTACAGGCAAGGGTTGCTATGATATGGAACATATTCTACCACACTTAACAACAACATTTACACAAGGTTCACATTGTTTGTCTAATTAAAATTTATTATGAATAACATAATCTTTTAAGTAATCCTAGAATGTATTTGTTGATTAATTAAAAACCATAATTTCCTTCACTCTTTGCTTGTTATGTCCCTTTCATCTGACCTGAACCCCAGTAAATTTATAGGCAAGCATCATCTTGGTAATTTCTTTTTTCTCTTTCAAAGTACACACCAGAAGAAAGAGAGAAAGGGGATTCATTAGAGCTCCTAACTATTCACTGGAGTCCTAGTGTAGCACTGTGGATTAAAGTGCTGGATGGCAATGTCAGTTTGAACCAAAAGTCGGCAGTTCAAGCTCAGCAGTCGTTCCTTGAAAACTCTATACAGGGTCACTATGGGTCGAAACTGATTCGATGGCAGTTAAAACAACAACTATTCAGAGAATATTAAACATCTGTTTTTCTTTCACTCTTTCATTCAGGATCATTTCTATTCCTGTGATTATGCAAATAAGAATTATAATTTTAGCTTGGAAAACCACATTTGAAAGTGAAGGACGGGGAGAAATCAAAAGTTTATAAGAATTCAAACAAATAACATAAAAGTGATCTCTTTTCTGTATCAGCTCATAAGTGTACAGCTAATTATGAGTGTTGCTATTGTTTGCTAAATGCCATGGTGTTGGTTCCAAACAATAGCAACCCTGTGAGCTGCTGGTGACAACTTTGAAAATTGTAATTAAAGAAAAAAATTCTTAAAATTTTTCAAAAGTTGTCAGACTGAAAAATAGTAAACGCTTTACTATTTAGGAATTGCTGTATATCAGGCACTGTTCTTAGTACAGGCAGCTCTCTTAGTGCCTTATACCCGTTAACTTATTTCATCCTTCAGACTCTGTAATGAAGTAGATGTTAGTAGTGTCCTTTTTGTACAAATGGAAGTTAGGTACAGAGAAGTAATATACTTGCTCATAGTCACATAGCATGTTTATTGCATTTAATTAGATCACTAAGCTTTCACATTTTCAACCATGTTTGGCAATTGAGGACTCACATTGCATTCATTATTAAGATCCACTATTTGGGATATACTATAACCATCCAAGTAGTCTCACACTTCTCAACTCTTAGAATTTTGATGATTTCCCTCACTGTTTGCTTGTTATGTCACTTTCATGTGACCTTAATCCCAGTAAATTTGCTTCTCTAATATTCTTTGGGACATCTTATGGTTTGGAATTAATCAACACATACATTCTAGGATTAGTTAAAAGATTATGTTATTCATAATAATTTTTAATTAGACAAATAATGTGAACCTTGTGAAAATGTTGTTGTTAAGTGTGGTAGAATATGTTCTGTCTCATAGCAACCCTGTATAGGGTTTCCAAGGAGTGACTAGTGGGTTTGATCATTCAAGTAGCAGCCCAGTGCTTATCCTACAGTGTGCCTGGGTATGTCTACTAATTCTTATCCTCAGAAAAACATGTTTTCTTTTCTAAGGCTGAAAAAAACCTCACTGACTGAATATTCTGTTCCCTGTTTACCCCTAGGCATTCTTATGCAAACACTAAACTGTATTACAGTTGAAAATACAAGTCTTAGGCCTTGATAAGCCTATCCTAAATTCCTAAGGATTGTTTGATAATATAATTTGAGAATCATTAAACAGTGTGGTTCCTACCCAAAAATAGACATATATATCATTGGACCAGAATGAGGTAGTCCAAAAAATAGATTTAGCAATAGAGTTCTGGGGTGGTACTATAGCATAAGCTCTGGACTGCTAACCACAAGGTCAGCAGTTCAAACCTACCAGCCCTCTTCAGAAATTGTATACTACCAAAATACCATAAAATTTAATAAAAATAACCCTGGAAGTCATCATTAAACCAAATAATACTTTAGTTTAATTACCAAAGACTACTTGTCTTCAGTATTGTGCTATTTTAAAACTATTACATACGATAAACTAACAACAACAATTTGAAAGATTAGATGAGAAGCCTAGGGGATAGGTAGGGAGTTTTTAATGATGGTAAAATAATTTGGAAAAGGATATCAAGAAAGATGGCATATCTTGAAGAATTTAACCAGTGCCACCGAATTGTATACATAGTAACTGTTGCTTTGGTCTCTGTTTTATTGTGAATTCTTTTTTCAAAATAAACAAATAAAATGTATTGTGATCAGTCAATCCTCTCCCCAGCAATAATATATTATAAATGTGTTTAACCTTGCAAATGATAACGAAATGCAAAGTAAAGAAATAAGCCACAATATAATCAGTATTCATTTTGCAAAACTCTTGAAAAAGATGGTATCTAATTTTTGTATGGCTACAAAGAAATTGTACTGTTTTGCCTTGCTGATAATAAGATAAATTTCACTGTCATTTTGTAGTGTAATTGTTGACACTAACCAATGTAGATGGATTTGGGTGCTTGACAGTTAACTGGGAATGGGTGCTATTGTACTGAATTCTTCTCAGATATCTTAGGTCATTCTAGTAGCTAATTTTCATCTCTAAGAGTATTTGTATATGATATATACAGTGCCATCTAATTGCTCTCTGTTTTAATGATCAGGTCCTCATATTGTATACATCTTATGTACAGGTGCCTCATCTGCCTTGTTTTTCTTTTCTGATTTCTTGGAATTTTTCTGATTACCTTGTTAGTATCATAGATTGGTTGAGGCACTGGTTAAATATATGTGTAAAGTGTTGTATTTAAATAAAATGGAAATGGTATTTTTGTTCAATCTCCACAGGCATTGATCCTTGTCAATAACAAAATTAGCAAAATCAGTCCTGGAGCCTTCACACCGTTAGTGAAACTGGAACGACTTTATTTGTCCAAGAACCAGCTCAAGGAATTGCCAGAAAAAATGCCCAAAACTCTTCAGGAGCTGCGTGCCCATGAGAATGAGATCACCAAAATCCGCAAAAGTGTGTTCAATGGAATGAACCAGATAATCGTCCTAGGTACAGATTTTCTTATAACTCTAAGACCAGGATTCAAGTTTCTCCTTAAGAAATGTCAAGTAAGGTTTAGCTTCAGAAAGGTAAATTAGCTATCACCTTCATACCTTCATTCTATATGAATTATAGCACTAGGCCTTGGAGAAATGGGATTTTGATTCCATAGTGTTCGATACTATCTTCTCCTTGTATCCTAGAACAAGGAGAAAGATCTAGAGCTGAAGTTATTCTATAACGTGAAGGATGGAGTCATACTTTGAGATATTTGTGGACATTTTGCCAGTGTGAGGATTGGTTCTGTTCTCAATAGCTATAAATGATTTGCTTTAAAAATATTATAATGCTTTGCTATATATATATATAGTAGAGTCTTGGTGTGGCACTGAATGATAAGCACTGGACGGCTAACTGAAATGTCAGCAGTTCAAACCCACCAATAGTTCCTCAGAAACTCTATATATGGTTTCTATGAGTCATAACCAACTCGACAACACTAACAACAACTTATTTTTAGTTAAAGTAAAGTAAATTTAAAACTGGATTAAAAATCCTGGATACAAATTATTTAAGAAAAATTTAAAGCAATTTAAAAGAATAATAGGCCCAATGTAAGGTATAATTTGAAAACTCTTGCTTTTGCTGATTTCTGGATTCACCTATGTATGTATTCACTAATATATATATATATAGTTGTTTTTGTTAAGTGCCATCGAGTCGGTTCCAACCCATAGCGACCCTGAACAGGGTTTCCAAGGCTGTAAATCTTTACGGGAGCAGAAAGCCTCATCTTTCTCCCATGGAGCAGCTGGTAGTTTCGAACTGCTGACCTTGAGGTTCGCAGCCCGATTCATAATTTGTATAATTTTCAAATATGTATAATTTTTCATTCCCGTTTTCTTCAATATGGGAAAATTTAATTTATTTTTATATTCATTTGAGAAGCATATTCTTTAATTATTCATTTGTTTTCAATCAAGCTGTTATGATGTGAATTTTGATAAGATTTATTGTTGAAACAGACATTATTCTGACTTGAATTGTACTAATATTGTCCTCTAAAACCCTTGCACTTATTCATTTGTAGAACTGGGCACCAACCCACTGAAGAGCCCGGGAATTGAAAATGGAGCCTTCCAAGGAATGAAGAAGCTCTCCTATATCCGTATTGCTGACACTAATATAACCACCATCCCTCAAGGTGACTGAACATTCTTCAGAGGCTTTGACATTTGAAATCTTGTTTTGGAAATTTGAAGTGTAGACCAACTGGTCAACTTAATTTCCAATAAATTCTTTATCCCTGGAAGTGATCAATCTTTTCCAAGCTTATATGACCACAAGAACATCCAGGCTCACTATAGAGATAGCTGGACTCCTTTATGGTTAAGTTCCTTTGAACTTAACACACAATCATTCTTATATTATAGAATTGTGGTATCACAAACAAGAATAGTATTATCTTAGTTACCAAGTGCTGGTATAACAGAAATACTACAAGTGGATAGCTTTAGCAAATAGAAATTTATTCTTCCACAGTTTAAGAGCCCTGGTGTGGTGCTGCAGGTTGGTTTGAACCACAGGATTGGCAGTTAAAGCTCACTATTGCTCCTTGGAAACCCCATACAGGGCCGCTATGAGTCAGGACCAGCTCAATGGCACTTAACAACAACAGATTAAGAGGCAAGAAGTCCAGACTTAAGGGTGCTAGTGCTAAGAAAAGGCTTTCTCTTTCTCTTGGTTCCCAGGTTAGGAGGAAAATCCTTGTCTTCTTTGAGCATCTGTGAGCCTGTCATTCCTTGGAGGTCTCCATGTGTCTTCTCATCAATATTTACCTGGGTCTAGAAGATTCCAGGAGTCCTGATGTGGTTCTGTAGGATAAGCACTGAACTGATAACTGCATGCTTTACAGTTCAAACACACCATCTACTCCTTAGAAACCTTATAGAGGGTTACTATGAGTCAGAACTGACAAGACGACACTTACCAACAACAATAGGGCGTTCCATGTGCAGGAATCCTAGGTCCCAATGACATGCTAACTCCTGACTCATCTTTCTTGATCTTAGTCTGTGCTTTCCCCCATCTCTGTTCACTTGTTTAATCCATTTTATACTTTAAAAGAGATTGATGCAAGATACAACCTAATCAAGATACAACCTGTGGAGTCAGTCTGGCCTCATTAACAGAATTCCTTTTACTCCTGCCTCACTAACACTATAGAGATGAGAATTTATAACACATAGGATAATTACATCAGATCACAAAAGAGAGGCTAACTATGTAATACTCATGATCATGGCCCAATAAAGTTGATGCATATTTGTGGGGGGTGCAATATTCAATGCATAACAAGATAGTTGAAATATAAAGTGCCTTCATGGTATATCTATCTATCTATATCTATATCTATATATATGGGATATATGAAAGTATCTCTAATTGAACAAATTTTTACTTAGCTTCTTCAATCCTTTAATGAATTCTGTCTTATTTCAGGACATTTTAGTTATTATTATCTGAGCAAAAGAATCCATAGTGGCCCTCAGTCTTATCCAATAATGGTAGTTGAATATCATAGTTGGATATGGGCTTTAAAACAGTTGCTTGAACTCAAGTTGCCACTGAATGTCTTCAGGAACTTGGACAAGTTCATAAACTTCTGAGCCTCAATTTCTTTATCTGTGGAATGTAAATATAATTAATATCTGCTTAACTTTTTAAATAAAATAATTAATAGCAAGATAGCTGTCATGGAAGTAGTTAGTAGATTAATGATGCATTATTCAATTAAAATATTTTGACCACTCTCTATACTTAGACAATGAACCAAACCCTATAGATATGCCAGTGAATAGGATACAGTACCTGCTTTCAAGGGATGAACAATCTAGAGGAAAGTCAGATCACTCAGCAGCGATCACCACATGGTGTAAGTGCCATCATAGCAGCAGTGAAACCGCACTGTTGAGAGATATGCTGGAAAGCCATTGAAAACAGTCCTTACAAATCAGGGGGGAAATTAACAACCAACAAAAAATTCCCCTGATTTGCACATTTCTTCCTACTCCCTGTTTTCAGTCTTACAAAAGTCTTTTTACAGTGTGTATTCTTCCCTTCAATATGCCTCCTTCTCAATTTAGGGTCTTGTACTTGGATTGAATACAAAATGTAGGCAAGTTGTACTTGCCCACAAAAAAAAAAAAACAATTATCCAGTATTGTGTTTCCATGAAACTTCAACTTCTGAGAATACATATTCCAGAGAATTCTTTATTGACCTTCTTTATACACTCTACATTTTTTTTTTTTTTTT